ACACACACACACACACACACAAACACACACACACACACACACACAAACACACACACACACACACACACAAACACACACACACATAATGAGCCTGGGTTCCATTCTTCTAGACCCTGAAGAAAACAAAACAAAAGCAAAGAAGCAACAACAAAAAGAAAGAAGCCAGGAGATGGGGACTGCAGGTGAAAGCCTTGGATTTTTTTTTCATCTCAAAAAGTGGGGTTAAAATAAAATTTATTGGGCAATGCTCTCTGTACCTCTACAGCAGCTATATTAACTTGTTGGTATGTTTACTAAGGATAATGCATTGTCAGTCCTTTCATAGAAACAGAAACAAGGGCTATGAGGCTGGACTCCCCAGGATCCAATTCTACAGAGCCTGCTCTGCTCTGAGGAAACAGCTGCAGATCTCTGGACTCACATATAAGACTCCATAAAATGAAAGTGAAAATGGGAATCCACTGGAGTCCCTCAGCTGTGTGCCTAATCCCTCAGTCATCCATTTTCTCCCAAACCTACTTCCTCAAGAAACTAAAGGCACATTTCCTGAACATAATCTAAAACTTGATGAAGATGCAATATTTTATCTTACTTCCAGTTTCTCAAAATCTCCCCCAAAACACTATTATATAACTGCCTGTCTCTAGATTCTATTTGTCCCACACTTTACATTCAGCACTTAGAATTGTGTGTCTCTTGTAGTGGAAGTTTGGGAGTCTTTAAAAATTCAGTTATATTATTGTAAATATGTTTTTGTTTTAATCCCAGTAAGATATGGGGCTGGTTCAGATTGTCCACAGCAACAAACTATTTGCCTCCTTCAGGCTCTGAGAGGGACTCTTTGCCAGCTGCAGATAGTTTAATTCTAAGGACTCCGAGAAGTAATAATTGCCAGAACCCAGAGAGTGTTGGGGGCCTCTGAGAAAGAAGAATGCAGCCCCCCTTCTGTCCTCTCCTTTCCACTGCTCTTTTCTGCTGTTGATGTAGTTTGACAAGAAGTTGGAGCTTTCCTGAATATAAAGATATGACTTGCCTCAAGGAACCCAATGATCCTAACCAGCAGGAAGTAGCTAAAGAAAATTATACCCCTCTCCCCACTAACCTTCTTTCTCTCCTACCTGGTTTTGGGGTTTGGGAAGATATTGGGGTAGACAAGGGTTGGAAAGGGGGGAGAGGTATAAGAAATACAATTAAAATAGTCTTAAAAGGGCACAGCAGTTTCTCTCCCTTCTCTTTCTCTTTAGCTTTATTTGCAAGCTTTTCTCAAGAGTGTTTCTTTGTCTGACTAAGCAAGTTCCCCATACTTAGGAGCCCCTTTCCAAAGCATCACTTACCATGGCCTGCATGGCATGGTCCTGGAAATCTGACTGGAGCAAATCATAAATAAAGAAAGAACAGACACACATACAGAAAAGATGGAATCAGGTAGGCTGTGCTTTAGAGGGATTTTAATCCAGAAACATGGATGCTCTGGCAAGGGATCACATCTAAAGATCTTCTAGGTCTAGATGATCTGGCTAAAACATAGAGACACTCTTAGAACACACCTTTAACCCCAAGCAATAAAGGTAAAGTAAGTTTGTAGAAGAAAGCATCCATATTTGAAAGTGATGTCTAGTTGAGTGGCAGACAAAGTGATGAATGAGAGAACTACCTCACCCTGCTAAGGATCTTAGTCTTCAGCAGTGACCTTCAGTTGTACTTGGAGATTCTCTCATCCATAGGATAATTAAGTACTGTGTTCTCCTTGTGATAGGATCATGCTCCTGTGTGGAAAATGAGGCACCATACCACTACATGTAAATCAAGTGTCCTGACCCCCTAACCCCAGCAAGTCAAACACATTCACCCTCAAAATCCCTCCAACCACCCAAAGTTTATAAATCCCTGATTTTAAATAAACACCCTGGGGTTTGTGTGCTGCAGCATAACATCAGCCTTCCACCATGGCCACCTGAGATTCGTCATTTATGCCCCGCTGGGCATAGGCCCCACCAGGCCAGGGTCTCCACTGCAAACCAACATGGGATTTCACCGGCACCTCTGTGTGCTCAGCACAGCAGCTTAACCAAGAGCTGTAACACTTTGGTATCGCCACAGACTTTGGAATGCCCAAGTTTCTATTGCCACCATTGGTCTCATTCTAAAAGAGCTAAATTGTAACACTCTGTAGAAAACCCTTTTCCACACTTTGACTTAGCACATGAGCCTCGCCCTTAAGCAGTCTAGCTGAGAGAGACAAAACCCCTGTTCTCCATCCGTACTTTGGATACAGTAGTTTTCCAGTGGTGACACAGCCAACAGCTGCCAAAACTTTCCTTGATCTGGATACAGGCTGAATAAAATCTGTAACCATTAAAAATATTTCATTATATATTTATAATATGAAAACCATAGGCTTTATATAATTTTTACTACTTGTAGAAATATAGGTGTGAGTTATGCATCCAAATTTTACCAGCTTGCCCTAATAGCATTAGGATGTAAAAATATTTTTATTCATCATCCTATGTTAGCTATAATGAGCCTTGATTATTGATGTTTTTCAGTTTTGAGGATTCACACTTCCAAATTATGTTTCGACAGCTTCTAAATACCCAGCCACAAATTAAACTGTCAAGGTGTATATGTCATTTTCCCATATAGAAAAACAGAGGAGTGTGCCTCAGTAACCACTGTAACAGGTTTGTGGAAATTGCAAAGAAATTATTAATTAAACTAAAGTTATTAAAGAAATTAATGATAAGATAGCATACTATGGAAGTTCAAAGCAGTTTCTCAAATTGGTTCAGATGTGTCTACAAATTAAAAAAAAATCCATTTCCCAAATAAAAAGACTGAAACCTAAAGATTGAGCTCAAGTTGTCTTTTGGACCCAAGAAAAAGCTGGTGAACCCTGAGCCCCTCCTTTGACATTGCAGCAACCATTCAATTTCTTCTCAGCAAAGGCTTCAGAATCACACAATTATGTGGGTAGAAACACGGGAATGTTAGTGGACAAAATACAGTTAAACTGTGAGGTTTCCAGAGTTCAGGATGGTTGTTTCTGTTTGATGGCGTTAGGGTACCTGATTCTGGGCCCTCCCTTACAAACCTTAGGAGCTGACCATACTCAATTCAGGCAGAAGTAATGACAGGAGCCATTTTTGCAGACTACATACTACAGAGAGAAAGGGACTTTTGCCTACACACAGAAGCCCAACCAGTGCAACTAAGGGCTGGCTTTCCTCGACATCCCTCCCTCAGCCTGCAATATTTATGCATACAAAGCTTCTCCTTCAAAAAAAAGTCAGAAACTCAGGCAATCGGTGCTAAAAAACATAGGTTCCAGGCCTTGGGCCCCTCTGCTGTCCATCCCAAGGCAAACAAGGGCTGTGTCCTCCCAGGAAGAGCCCCAGCACCCACACTGGTCCAATAGCAGGTCTGGCAATGTTGGTACTCACAGAGCACACCACCACAAAGACAAACAACCCTGAGATCTTCATCCACCGCACACAGCACCTGCAAGAGAAGGGGGCAGAAGGTGCTGAACCATGCACAGCAACAGCTTCTGTTTGGTAGGCGAAGGAAGCAAGAAAGTCTATGATGGGACAGCTTGTTATTATTTGGCTCACTTGTTAAGTTCCTTATGTGTAGAAAATCATTCTGCAAATTTGAAAATAGTAAAATTTTACATTTCTTTAGACTTAATGAATTTGACAAATAATCCTTTTACACTTCCAAATTCTGTTTCAGCAGTTCCTACTTAAGTAAAAACCTAAGTGGCTTATGTTTTTAAAGTATGAAATACAACTGAGGTATCGTAGGTATAATTTTTGCATAATTGACATACAGCAGAACTGACTATTCAGAATAAAGGTTTCTTGCAAATGCCTTTGCTCTTTATGCCTGGTACTATCTAGACTTTTTGTTAGCCACCCTACAGGCACTCTTAGGGTAATAATATATGCTTACAGAACAATGTTGCTCATTCAACGACTGAACATGCCTCTAAAGTTGCTTTTGATTGAAGATAAGGTCTTTCAGAGAAGCCCATAAGGAAGAAGACACTCTCACAAAGGCAGGTTAGGTGAGCAAAAGCAAACTTAAAATAAAAACCATTTTATTATAGTTTCTGCCCAGAAGAGTTCCTTGCCCAATGTTAGAGCAGGCAATGTTAAGGAAACATGACAGTGACGTTGTGACCGAACAAGACAATCCAGAGGTTCCTCCATCTTCCATTCTTGCTGATGTCATTTCAAATTTAACTAGAATCTGATCTCCTTGATAGATAATTCCACAGAAAATTACCCAGCTCTATTTTAGGAACCCAAGGTCAGGATATCTTAGCTAACTTATCTTAGCTTTTTGGTGGAGAAACCCCTGTAGCTACAACTTATCTTAGCTTCTGTCAAATTGCTCCCTCCTCCCCACCCTGAAGCTGCTGAGCTGAAGAAGAACCTCCAGCCTAGAGACATTTGTAAGATGAGTCTGTCTTGTTCCAAGTGTTACTGTTCCCCTGGTGAAGTCCCTGCTTCATTTGCTTTGAGAATTGCCTGGTGTCTTCCTTACTTTTGCCAAATAATAAGCCATTCTTCCCTCTTATCTCCTAACTGTGTTTATCACCAAGAGGTGAGCCTATTGCATTGAGCTGCCATTTTATACAGAGCAGCTTGAAGCAACTGTCCCATGAATCACTAAGATCATCTCACTGTGAGACAGCTGCTGCGATGGCAACCTCACTACTGAACAGCCAGCTGGGGAAAGACAATTACAGTGACAGAATTAACCCTTGCCTCCAATGACTCATGTAGCCAGATCTCCAAACATAATTTTATGATTCTTACAATTTCAGAACAGATCTGTGAGCCAAACATCTATTATGCCTAAAAGAACTGAGAGTAGTCATGGTGAAGAAGCTGCCAATGTTTAGGACACATTAGAAAGACACAGTTCATGGTCAAGGTGAAAGGATCCCAGCCACTGTCTCTCCATAGAACTATTACAAGTTTTCAGAGAACCAATAGGAAATGACTTGGCAAATGGGCCTGTCTCTAGATAAATACACTTGATGCCTAAAACTGAATACATTAACTTCTCCAGTATCTTCAGAAAAGAGTAATCCACAAATAGAATGACTCAATATCAGTAATTCTAGACAGGTTCATGATACGTTTTCACTCATCTTAGCCATCATCTTTGTATAAGCCCGTAGAAGGCAATGGAGAGAAGGAATGTCACGTCACTGGATATAATTGCGCAGCCACACACAGCCATGTCACAGTCACCCAGCCACTTCAAGTCCTCAACTGGGCACTACTGGCTTTAGCTCTCAGGCCTTGCTCTTTTCTTGGAGACGGGCTCTCAAATACTTTCACCTAAAAACTTTCTCCAAATAAATGTACACGATGAAGGAAGTACAGCAGATAAACTAGATAAAATGAGAACACTCTGTGGGCAGCTGCAGAGGCCAGAACATCCTCTTAGCCCTCCCACATACATCCTCCATTTGCTAGAAGCCTAAGCCTCCCACTTCTTACCACACAGGAGGATACCAAATTCTGCAAGACAGTAAATTTGACAATGCCACAGGGGTCCCTTAAACCCAATTATTCTATTTGTCAAGAAGATGTCAGCCTTATAAGCAGAAATGAATGAAAAGGAGATATGTGTCACTTGGGATTTTCATCAGGTCTCCTTGTGACTTTCCAAGGCTGACCTAAGTGTCTCCTATTGCCTTGGAAAAGAATAGATAATGTTGAAGGAAAATTGTGGCCCAGCTAAATAGAATAACTTCATCCTCTTTTAAACCTTAGGTTTTTGAATGGCTGAAGTATGGGCAGGCCTGGGGTCAAACAGAAAGCCACATCTACTGCCAGCACTGTCTCTCCACATCTACTTACCCAAGCCTGGAGACCTGGACTCTGAGGTGGACACTGCCTGCAAGATCCCCTTTCTCTGAGGAGGCCAATGCAGACAAATCTGCAACCTCTTTACCCAGCATGCAGTTTTGCTCCCAGGCAGTAAGGCCATTTTCCCAAGAATCTTCAGTAGCTATGAACTCTGGGTGATGAACACTCATGAACGGTGACCTGGAAAGAAAGAAAAAACAAAACAAAACTGTGTTTATATATCCTGAAATGGTATCTCCCTCAAAACCAAGATTTCCTCTCAGCTGTGAGGTACGAGATACGATGGCATCAATGCTGGTCTTTAAAAGAAGTTGTAGTTCTTAATACTGATTGTCAGTATTGCCTAGGAGACAAATCTCTGAGCACGTCTAGGAGGGAGGTTCTCAGCTGGGTTAATTAAGCTGGGAAGAGCCCCCCAAATGTGCCCAGCACCCTTCAACGAACTGGAATCTCCACCAAAATAAAACAGAGAAAGCTGCCTAAGCACCAGCAGTTGTCTGTCTCAGCTTTGTGACCACCAATGTGAACAGCCACTTCACATTCCAGTCATCCTAACTTCACCACCATGACACACTGCACTGAGTCAAAATGAGCCCTTTCTTCCGTAAGTTGCTTTGTTGAGTATTTTCTCACAGCAGCATGACAGGATGGTGGACAACATGGCATTGTCTCGTACGTCTGGCAATGTGTCTTTCTTGAGGACATTCAACTCAAATTTTGTGGGGCCACTCAGTCTTCTAGAAGAATGTTAGCCCTGCAGGGGCTGGGGCTTATGGTTTATTTAGCTGATATTCTGGCACAGCTGCTTCGGGCTGAGACCAGAAGCTCCTTTCACTATGTCCTTCTTGAATGTTCACGAGCAGGCATTCTAGCTAGACCGGTTCCACGTGTCCTGCAGCACACTGATCTGTGGTCAGCTTTCTACTTCTGTAGAGTATATATGCTCCCCATAGCCATGGGGTCTTGGCCAGGTTTATGGTACTAGGTATGAGTTCCTTCCTGTGGAGCAGGTCTTAAATTGAATCAGAAAATTACTGTTCCCCGTGACATGTGTGTCATAATTGCACCAATGGGTTTATCATGCTGGGCTGGTCATTACTGGAGCTCACTGGATTGATTGCCATGTAAGCCCACAATCAAGATCTTAATTCACTTCATGCATGTCCCGTGTCCAGGACAAATGCTTACACATTGTCGGCTTTGCAGTGAATTGCATGTTTGACATGTGTCAGCCCTTAATAGTTGAACAACTAATTCAAGAGAAATAACCAAACAAATAAATGTGTGGAATGTTTGCTTTAAACTATTCCTTAGGAGAGGAGTAAAAAAATTAAGTTATATTCCTGTGGAGAAGGGTTAAGCCTGTGGGCCAATGAGAGAGCCTGTCAGAATTGTATAAATGCATAAATATATAAATTGCACATGAGCAAGGTCATCATTCCAGGATTATGCCCAAAGATACTTGGAAATTCACAGTACAATCCCAAATCATGAATATCTACTATAATGGACTCTCAAAGACCTGGCAGAGATCAAATATGCCAAGTAAAAATTCCTGTCTCAGGAAGAATTCTTTATCATCTGATGAACAAACAGTAGTACTTAGTAGTAGTACTACTAAGTAGTAGTAGTACTAAACAGTAGTACTAAGAACAAACTTAGTACCACAGATATTTTCCAGAAAGTTATAAATTTCATAAAAGAGGGGAAAAGCTCACCTCTTCTTCTGTGAGGAGTTCCAGAGCAGAGGAGTGTCTTCCTTAAAACAAAGGTCTTTTGAGCTGGAGCTGAACTGAGACAAAGGCGAATGAGGCCTGGGAAAGACAGGGAAAGAACCAGAATCACCAAGGGAGAATGGCGCTTCCAGGAATGGAGGGCTCAGACACAAATGAGAGCTACATGGCCAAAGTTCTCTCTGAGCAGTGAAAGCTGGAACTTAGGAGAGACCGCGCCAGAGAACTCACCTTTCCAGCTTGAAGCAGATCAAAAGGACAAAGCAGGTCTCCTGTGAAGGCCATCTGCTATGGACTGGTGCTTTGAGGCTGGTGTTAGCAGATGATCCAGGGGCTGCCTTGGAAAGTGCACTTTCCATCAATAAAAACATTAAGGTCGATGGGTCTTTTTATACACAGAAAATTCTGTCTCCTGAGATCAAGGGGTATTCACTTGAGAAATGTCCTAGTGGCTCCCATTAGAAGAGCAGGAATCAGAAGTCAGGGCAAACAGGTCAGAATGAGATGACAATCAGAACGCTCTCAGGGAACATGGCATATTAGTCACAATGGAAACACAGCAAAAGTTTGCCCTGGATAAGATGCTCCTTTGCTATGCTCTCTGGCCCATTGGAGGAAGAGCCACCACGAAGGCATCACTCAAAGCAGACACTACAGAGTGTAACAGTGCCCTGATGCAGAAACAGTGATACGGAGAGCTTACTATATACCAGCCTATACCACTGGCAGGGCCTATCTGGAAACTTCAGAGATAGAATAAACCTTCCATCAGCTTTAGGAATACTTTTATATCTATCTTCATTCTTTTTCAAAGGTGCCCTTGATTGTTTTATTGATGATTAAGATACTGTTTTCTAAAATAATGTTTCTCCTTCTAAGTGAGACATCCTGCTGAGTGAGTGTTCTACATATTTCTGATACAGCATTTCAGAGGGTTGTCTGCTCTGGCAAGAGAGAGCAGCCCCAGTCAATCCATGAACCAAGGGGCTTTCAAGCTCATGGGTAACCCTGTTGGCAAATGCTGATGATTCCCACCTGGTACTCCAGTATTCCTCAATGTCGCCGTGAACTGATGGAGTTTTGTTACCAAAGCTGGCATATATTTCATAGTCGGAGTCTCTCGTTAATCTTCCTTGAGAGCATGTAGCCCATCAGTGTGTTTGGGGAGCATGCATTTATTTTATGTGCAATAAAATGTACTTATCTCTTAATTAATTACCCAAGTGCACACACTATTAATGATCACATTTCTGGGCTTTCAGGATAAGTGAACTAAATGATTGTTTTTCTGAACAACAATCGTTTGACTAATGTGTTCATTGCTCATTGGGTTTAGATGTGAGGACTCGTTGATTTCACAGCAGCCATTCTTCCACCATCAGTATTTTCTCTTCACTCGTTAGCTTTGTAAAGGAAGGATCACCTCTTTCATGTCTGGGAAATTACTTAAGCCTTAGGTCGAAAGGTTCTATCTGACTATCTATGTATGAGTCCAGAGAGAGTAGGCATGGTGTGTGTGTGTGTGTGTGTGTGTGTGTGTGTGTGTGTGTGTGTGTGTGTGTGAGAGAGAGAGAGAGAGAGAGAGAAAGAGAGAGAGAGAGAAAGAGAGAGAGAATTTATCATTTATTGGACAATCGCTGTGACAGCAAGCTGGCAGGAATAGCAATGCATGTTTAGCTCTATTATGAATATGTATAGATCTTGTTCAATTGGGCAAGTCATTCACTGCTCCCCCCTCCTAAATTTTCTTTAACAGTCTCATTGAATCATAAACTTTAAAAATTATCTTATTGGTGCTAGAAAGACAGTTAAATTGGTAAAGTATCAAAATTATAATATGCTAATTGTTGTGTTTACTTTTATGCTCACTTGACTAGAGATCATCTGGGCTAAAGTCTTTTTCTGAAAACATCTTTGCCTTAGAAGGTATGGAACTCTTGCCAGACCTTACAGTTAAGTTACTAATTCGCCTTGTGACCATGTAAGACTATGGGCTGAATCTGCTGCCATATTGTGTACTCGGCCTGTTTAAGTTTAAACTGCCTTGAAGAAGCAAATGTAACCAACTTACTATGCCTTAGATAGCCCCTGCCCCTGCCCCTGCCCCTGCCCCTGCCCCTGCCTCTGCCTCTGCACCTGCCTCTGCCTCTGTCTCCTGCCTCTGTAGTGCTGAAATTAAAGCTATGTGTTTCCCAGCACCGTTTTTTTAGCCTGGCTGACAAGAAATAACAAACAGAGCTTTTTAGGTTGAAATGGCACAGATAGGCCCCATTTGAGGAGCGCTTTGATGATGCATTAGGGCATCCTCACAGGACACACTGCATCGGAACAGCATTAGGGGTGAAAAGAGACTCCTCTTGGAGTAAGTCAGATCAGGAATGAACCTAAGTTTGAATTCTCCACTTCTCTCTCTCTGTCTGTAGTTTATGACTTGTGACCTGCCTGTGTTAAAGGACTTTGTTCTGCATTTATGGGAAAAGGGATATTTTTCTATAGAATTCTTTTAACAGGGTTAACAGTTGGGGTCTTTTAACTGACCCCAACTGACCCATAATAGCACTCAAAACTGCAAACATGTTACAAAGCTAAATCCACATGTTGCTTCCAACATTCACAGAATATTTGTTGTTTAAGGTTGCTTTCAACCTGTCTGATGCTTTCAGAAAATGATTATAACACACGAATATACTCCTCTAGTTAGGGGTATGTGGCATATATAGGCAATGGAATATCATTTCCCCGTTTTAGAAACTAGTTGGCCGTGTTGTGTTGGTGCATGCCTTTAATCCCAGCAATCAGGAGGCTAAGGCAAGTAGGCTTCCGAGTTCAAGGCAAAGCTGGTCTACGAAGTGAATTTCAGGACATTCAGGACTACATTTAAAAAAAGTCTTACTTTCCCCCAAAGGAATGTTAATTTAGTGGGTTTTTTTTAAATTTCCAAGTCTTTTCATAATAAAGTTTTTGTAAGCTCTAAGAGTGTATCCTCACTTATAATTGCATAAAGCATAAAGTACAGGATAAACATGCTGCAATCTACACCAAAGAAGCTAAGTAACAAGGAGGACATAATGGAGGTTGCTTGAATCACACCGAGAAGCTGAAATAAAATAGATATAGGGGTGGGGGTAGAGTGGACAGAGGAAACTGAATGGAAGGAGAGTGGGAAAGAGAGCAGGAGGGATCAAGAGTGGGAGAACTGAGGGGGAGGATGGATTGGGGGGGCATCTCAAGGATGAGCTAGAAACCTAGGACAAGGGAAATTCCCAGGAATCTTGAGTGACCCTAGTTAAGACTCTTAGTAATAAGGGATATGGAACCTAAAGTTGCCTCCTCCTGTAACCAGGCAAAACTTTTAATGAAGGGATAGAGACACCAACCCACCCACAAAATCTTCAACCCACAATTTGTTCTGCCTACAAGATGTGCAGGGATAAGGAGAGAGCAGAGATTAAAAGAATGGCCAACCAATGACTGGCCAAACTTGAGACCCATGCTGTAAGAGAGAGCCCACCCGTGACACTATTAATGATAGTCTCCTATACTTGTAGACAGGACCTAGCATAACTGTCTTCTGAGAGGCTTCACCCAACATCTAGTGGAAACAGATACAGAGACCCACAGCCAAACATTAAGTGGAACTCAGGGAATCTTGTGGAAGAGAAGGGGAAGAAGGATTGAAGGAGCCAGAAGAGTCAAGGCACAAGAAAACACAAGAAAACTTGAACCAATAGGGGCTCACCAAGACTGAGCCACAAAACAAAAGCATTGCATGGAATGGTCCTAGGCCCCCTATACATATTCAACAGATGTGCAGCTTGGTCTTCATGTAGGACCCCTAACAACTAGAGCAGGGACTGTCTCTGACTGTTTCCTGCCTTTGGACCCCTTTCCCCTAACTGGACAGCCTTGTCTAAAATCAGTAGAGAAGATGCACCTAGTCTTACTGCAACTTGATGTGCCTAGGCTGGTTGGGAGGGAGAGGAGGGAAAGAAAGAGGAAGGAGAGAAAGGAGGTGTGGGAAGAGACTGGAAGGAAAGAGGAAAGGGATAAAAAAATAAATTCTAATAAATTTTTCAAAAGAAGAAGAAAAATGGTTACATGCTATATAATGAAGCTTGGGTACCTACTGAGTAAATGAACAAGGGGTAAAATAATAAGTTCCCTATGGTACCACTTTATGAAATATCTATTAACAGGAAATAGAGACCGAAGATAGATGTGTGGTACCAATGCAAGAGAGAGGGTATGGGGAGATATTGCTTTAAGGAATACAAAATTTATTCTAGGGTGATGAGAACATTTTAGAATTACTTGTGTGTGATGATTACACATCATTAGTCTAGTTAATGTCACTGAATTGTACATGCTTTTTAACAAAAATTCCAAAAATACTTATTAGAGAAACTATAACTTCTTCAACAAACGGGGCTGGGATAACTGGATTTCTACATAAAGAAGAATGCAACTCTGTTTTTATCTTTCACACTGAACAAAAGACTCCACATGGATCCAATAACTTAAGACTGAAAACAAGGAAACTGTTGAAATAAAAAGTAGGGGAAAACACTTCAAAGAATAAGCAGAGGTGAGGACTACAGAACTATGTCTCCTCAGCGGGGTGGCCTTATTTCAGCAACAACGGGACCCATGAAATTCAGCTTTTGTGCAGCAAAGCAAACAGCCAGCTGAGTGAAAAGGCAGCCCACAGAGTTGAAGAAAATGTTTGTCAGCTGTTCATCTGACAAAGATTGATATATAGACTATACAAAGTACTAAAAATAAAAATAAACATCAAGAAAACAGACAACTCTATCAAAAAATGGACTGTTGAACTAAACAGTTCTCAAAAATAAGTACAAATCATTCTATTTAAGTACTCAGCATCCTTAGCAATTGGGTGGGATGGGGGAGGCTGCCAATTAAAACTACAAGAGTTTCCATCTCACCTCAGTCAGAATGCCAACCATCAAGAAAACTAGTGGCAACAAATTACAATGGATCTACAGAAAAAGAGAAGCCTTTATCACTGTGGGCAGAAATGTAAATTGCTACAGCCACTGTGGAATGAGTGCTGAGTGTCC